GGAATGGAAGAATATTCCACAGCATCAGCTGCGTGCTGCAGTACGCGCTTTCCGCCCTCGATTGAAGGCTTGCATTTCCAAACGTGGCGGACATTTCGAGTAGCTATGGTTCCTAACATTGACTGACACTTTGTACTAAATAAATTATCACTTGAAGTTGTCGTTCTTGTTGCCTTGGTTGTTTTTGGCAAAGAAACGTTTGTAACAGAACTTCTTACGCACCCTGTACGAGGTAGAACGAACATGTGACCTGTCTGCTTTTAGTCAGAACAACCGTTCAACCTCGGATCTGGTCATCCTATGCAGTGAGCGTTTCGCGCTACTGAAGTGCCAGAGGGTGCCGTTTTTCGGGTCTCATGATCGGTTTGGGGAGACCCGGCACAAAAATTCATGTCATTCTGGCTTTCTTATGGACTTGGTCGCTCGACCTCACTATCAATCTTCCGAGCGCCCTTCGCGGGGAAACGTAGGGAAGAGAAGCATATGACGAGCAGACGACGGGGACCATAACGTGAAACTAGCACTGCGCTGCTCATGCATCCCCGAAGGGAGAAGTTTGCAAGGAAGGGCAGGGCAGGGGAGGGTAACATCACGAGCCTGTAGGCCAAACTCATTCAATTCAGTGTTGGGTGGATTCACGTTCGTTATGTCAACCTCCCTGCCTGGTGGGGTAGGGGGAGTTGACATAACGAACTATACCCCCTTCCTCTCCCTTTTCAATTTTTGCTAGAAGTTCCAGATCCCTAACATGAATCGTGTCCTTCCTCTTTCTGTTCCTAAAGGGATCCCGTGACTTACGATGGCTTCTTTTGCTTTTCATTTTCATAGGTCTGCATGGCATGGTGGTGGAGAATTCCTCCGTATAATGGGAAAGGAACCCCAGGGAGCGTGAAGAGGCGTCTTCATTATTGTCGGGGATACATGGATGAAATAGAAGACGTCGAGGACTGGCATAAAAAAAAACGCATGATGACCAAAGGATGTTCGAACCTGGATTCCAAAAGTAAAAAGACGGACTCTAAGTTGCCTCATCCCCTCCCCGTCCATGACGTCATTTTTCTCATTTTCTGCCATGCCAATTCAGTCTCGAATAAAACCGTTTCATTTGAAATGTCCGATATATTTTTGAACTTTACGCTAATTTCTGCAAGTAGAAAACGTAGATACCATCGGCTTTTGTCTTTGCAAGGATATCAGAGCATGGAAAATGATGCATGTTTCCGGATTCTATTCTCGTAATAATGCATGTCGCCATCCAGTTTAGGTAAATTTCTAAATACCCGGCCTGGGAATTTACGCCTATTTTCGAAATTCCCTATCGGTTGTAAATGACGGCAATGGTATGAATTTTATTGGGCCCGTTTTTTTCGGCACATTTGCAACCTCTGGTTTGTTTATTAGTTCTATTCTGCGAGTGAACTATATTGGCAATTCTCAAATTGGAATAATGGACAAGGACGCTCCTCAGACGATTTTGTTCGCCAGTTCTAATGTGAAAAAAGCCCAATTACGTGGCCAGATTTTACGTCAAACTGTCAGTTTTGTCATAAATTTATCGTGCAACTCTTAAATGAAACGTGTTAATTGTGTGTCAATTGGTTAATGACATGCGTTCCTGAAGAGCTCCTGGATTATCTTACCCGTGACCTTCGACAGAAGTGGGTACCAGCATGAATGTGGCATGCTTTCATGGGTTGAGATGAGGAAATTCCTCTCCCTCTTTCTTGCGGGAAAGTGCAGGTAAAGGTTACAGTTATTTTGCTTTCATGGTTCAAATCTCAAGGTTCGTCGAAGTACTTCAAGTGGGATTGCGCCCATTTCGATGCCCTGGGTCAAGATCGAGTGTTCATGAAAGGTACGATACTCCCAGATGCAGTTGCAGATGGAGAAATATTTTCTCTCAGAAAAATGAACAAGGACAGGGGAAAACTCGGAAAAGCTAAAATCGAGGACGGAGTACCCGAGATTTCTCGGTAATACCGACTCCTCACTTGCCAAGGAAAGTTGGATGGATTAGGCGAGACAGAAGGAGGGGAAAAGAGGACACCCTCATCCTGTTATAACCATCCCATTCCCTCTTGGAGCGGGAGGCTTGACTGGCGGTGGGTTACTTATGCAGCGAGGACCCATTGGAGTCTAAGTTCCTAAAGATTTAGGTCACTTCCGCCAATTTCCGATATCAAGGTTTTTTGTGTGAAGAAATACGCTAACTTATAATTAACGTGTTGACTGCAAAAGCCCATATTATCAATTTTCCCCAGAAGCCAAAAGCTTGTCTAGTGCAATAAAGCAGCAAGAGTGGTTTTTAGTGGCGTGAAAGTTTTCCTTGAAGCCTCCCGATTTTGAATTTCCAACGTTTTACATGCGGGTACCATAAGGTTGTATGGCCTTTCGGTGATCCAGCATCAATTAGAGGCAATAATGCCCTCCCAATTCTTTCCCATTCCTGACGGAATTGTACTGATAATAAAAACTCAGATATGAAGTTGGTTAAACGATTTGGCTTTGTATAATTTCTTAGGGTTGCCTTGGAGGATAAGATTTAATGTCACTGAAAGAGAGACCCTCCCAATTCGCCATTTAAAATTAAGCATGAGTTTAATTAGGAGAAAAGATGTTGCTTTTTCTCCTAATTAACTTAATTCTGTTTTCCAAGTTCCGAAATTTTTGTCACGTATCGATGCCGTGACTGTAAAACGTATGAATGTTTAACTAAAATGAACGGGGAACGGTGGAAAAAATCCCATAGATGGGTTGAAAGAATTATTGTATTGGAGTCCTCTGCTCATTTGCCAATTTTCATGAAAATCATGGATGGTCCAATGCATCATCTGGGCGTGAGCCCGTCTGCAGCGGCCATCTGTCCAGATCTTGCAAGTAGCAGCAAATATTCGAGTGAGACCCTCGAGGACTGATGTGGAGATGCGTTCCTTGTGAATACCACTTGCACATGAGCGAGTCGATCCGAAACCGCAGGCGAAAGCCGCCCCAATACACTTTGGCCGCAAGATCAAGGCTATGAACGCCGAGAAAAGGGAGGTTCGACGAGGGGTGAGGCGAAAGGGAATCCGGTACTCATTCGATAAAAATACTTGCACAAATTCTGGGTGTGACATATTGTGCAAGAAAGCGTCCTAAATGCGTTTCATGGGAAAGGGTTCATCTTCAACTCATCACAGATATCTTATAAAAAGTAATACGATGCCCATTTGTTAGAGGGGGGGGAGATAGGTCACGCACCTCACTCCACTCAACCACTTCATTGTATCGACCGTTTCCCGATTTTCTAGGTCGGGATCTTAAGCTGGATCGATCCTGGTCCCGCATCCTCCATTTGGTCGCCTTGACACAGATCTGGATGACATATTTCCGAGCTGATTATACATAAGGTATCTCCAGCAGCTGTCTTGTGCATTCCACACGAACAAGAACTATGTTTTCTTTCGTTTTGGCAGCGTTTCTGTCCTTTGCCCTCATCGCCGAGGCAAGTCCCCAGGTCAGCCTTGCGCATATTTCTTCTGACAATCGCCATCGCTTTCTTCATGTTTCATCACCATCCGTTATTTTTTATTTCAGGGATTTGGTGGAGATTCGAGTAAGATCTCATTCCCCAACGGGGAGCATCCAGAGTTATACGTTATCACCTGTTATTCGCTATCTCTGTGTTAACTATTATCTCCTGACTTGTTCGTTTTTTTTCACTAAACATATATAGGGTGGTTAAAAAACGAACGATTTCTATAGGTGAAACGCAGTTTCATAAATGCGGCATGAAAAATTAAATTGGATACGCGATCGATATTTGACAGTTACAAGGTATTGAAATGCTTGCCAGCTTTTATTTGGCATCCGTAAGGGGCGGAATTCCCATTTAGAAGTGAATTAAAAGTGCTTAGGCGGTGATCACTGCACCTAAAGTGATCACCTGTGCTCGCTCGTCCCAGAATTCAATGAACTTTTTTAACATTACCTTTTCAAGAGACAGTTGGATTCAGCTGATACTTGTCAAGTGAGTCAAGTCAGAAAACCTGAAACTTAAGAGAAAAATCTAATGAACCTCGCAGCAAGACCGCACCCTATCGAGGCGAGCTGAAAGCAACTAATAATTGCGTATCTCACTTCACGCACATGCGAGTGCCTACAGTCAGGGCTCCATCCTCTGCAGCCGCGCGCGTGAGGCACTTCGGCGTATCTCTGTATGTATTGTGAAAACTTTCTTTATAGTTATTTTCCCTTTCTTCATTAACTTTCACTCTTTTTCCACTAACCTCTGTTTCAATCTTACCTTTCTCTTTGAACTAGGTACAAAAATGTATGTAACATGTAGGTTATAAAACAGAAGACTCTCGCACGTATAAGAAACCAGAAGCAATAATGGATCCGTCGTAACTCCAATACGATATCCGGGAATCGTGAGAGATAGCACTGAAACCCGCACGCTGAGCCATAATGGAAGACAGCAAATTTCATTTATTTATATAGGTAATGGTGCATCGCAAGCAACCAAGGGCACTTTTCCTATCCTACAAGTCATTAGGGCGGGAGTGACGTCGCCTTGCTCTGACAGGGTGCAGCGGAGAGGTCCTGACAAGATAGGCTTCAGTTCACGCTTCCAACATTACAAGACTTCAAGGAAGAGGTTGGAATACAGTCTTGTTCCCATGCGGTCGAAGGGATGCCGTCGCTTCCGATCACGGCACCTACAGGACCCTGATGACTTTGGAAATCCGGAAAACTCTAATGACCTTGACGTCTCGTTCCATTTTGTTGGCCTTCGTCGTTTGCAGCGGGTCTGGCTACCCCGGTTTTGAGGCCTCTAAATTCTCAGTGATAGCTGCACAGACCCATTCCGTTGCACACATGACCCCTGGGGCAGCTGGAGCAGGGGGATCCAGTACTGTAAACCCGTTGCCCTATCAGGTTCCCTCTGAGATGAGAGAAGAAAATAATTAATCATAATTAAAACCTAAATGGGTCTGATATCAAAGCGACTGAACTTACGCGGGGCCGTAGTTGCAGACGTAGAACTTTCGGAAGCCGCTGCCCTCTCGGAAAGAGGCAAAACCGCAGCCAACTTTGTAGGACTTTCCCCATACCATCTGAGTGTATGTACTCCATTCGCTCCCCGCCTTGTAGGAAGGCAAGTGCTTCAACGGGAATCGCTGTCCCGTGCTGGACCATGAGGACAGTGGGAATTGCCAATCAGCGCTAGGATCCTCCTGGAACATACTCTTGCTGAAGAACAGGTTCTGACCCACCAAGAACCTCGCTGCAAGGGGAAATTATCTCAGTGGCTCAGTATAATTATATCAATGTCGAATTTAATCTCTTCTTTTTTCTTTTCAATAATATTCTTACCAACTCGTCTGCATTGGTTGCAGTCGTTATCGGAGCGACATCGATCTGCCCATTTCTGGGCAATGAAGGTTAATTCGTCATCCCAATTCTATGAATGAGAAATTGATTAGTGATGTGTGAGGTATAAAATATACTCAGTGAAAACAATGAACCTCCCCTTCATAATAGTACCAAATAACATTCGATTTTGAAGGCATTGTTAGAGAGGGTACTCAATAAAAGTGAAAACCGTAAAAAAAAAGGAGAACATTTCAAAAGCAATTGTGTAAAATAAAATTCATTAGAACAATCCACCATTTGGGAAAGAGCATTCAAAAGTACTGTACAAATCATGATTCAACTTTTGTCTATAGGAAAGGAACTTCAATTTCTTTGGAAGTTGTTCCGACTCAGTCTTATTGTTGCTGGCTAGGCTTAACCGCTAATTTAATCTTAGGCCTGAGTTAGTGATCACGTGACATGAACCCACATCAGTGGATATTCCCATGAAAGGTTCGAACTCTAATGAAGAAAGACGAGCGTCTGGCAATAGGGAATAATATTACCATTTCAAGCATGTCAGAGGACTGGAGTTGGAAGGTTTTTGTCTCGTTGGAATTTTGTCCGTTAGCCACCTTGGTCCTCAGTTCATTGTGAAAATCCAGTATGACGCCCTTCTCGATATCACTAACCCCCGGGCCACCTTCGGGCACTCGGAATCCTCCGGGAGACACCCCGTATGATTCTGCGCATATTGGGAGTAGCAACCGCCTTCGACGAACGTGTCGGCGAAAACCTTGTGAATCCCCTTGTGCACCTGGATGAGCTCCTCCTGGGTGAGTCCCAGGTTGTCGATCACGTCGTGGACGCCGTAGTGAATTGTGTTGTAGAACTCCTGGCTCGGCTGAAGTCCCGCCTCGCCGATTTCCTTCGAGAATTTCACATCAAATTGGTGACGGATCCGGTCGTGCAGCTGAGCCTGCTTCCCCTCCTCTATCGGGAGGTTGTCGAGCACTTCGTGGAGCTCATGGTGGATCGTGTCGAAGAGGGAGGAGGTGAGAGGGTTGCACCTTGCCGCCATCAATGCACAGAGACCGAATACTGTCGTTGAGACAGTCTTCATACTTCTGGACACCATTTCTGCATAGTCATTGATTATAGAAATTGGGATGATGTCAAGGAAATTACATTTCAAGAATAAGGAAACAAATTTGGAAATATTTTTTCCTACGATAAATGTTTTCTCTTATTCATAGTGTACAGTATGTCACTGTGCACTTGCTACAAACAGAAAAGAACCTTTGTGTTTTAAGAGATTCTGGAAATAACCCCATGTGCCTTACAGTTTTTCCCAATTTCGAAAGCCATTTTACATATACTGACGGTTATTTAAGACTTCACGTACGATCCATGAAACTCTGGGCACGTTTCTCACATCTTCGCGTCCAATAGTAAAACATGCCTCTTCATAGAAGTGAAAGTATGCTCTTCAATTTTGTGACGTCAGGGGTGTGTATGGGCGACCTAGACGCGACCGCGGTAAATAAGTCTTCTGAACGGACACCCATAATCTCCATATGCATTCCTGCTACAAATATCTCTTTAGGAGGGAGGAATAGAAGCAGAAAGAGACCCTTCGTCAATTTTTTGTTAATGCCGAAAGTAACGTCGTGCGACAAAACGCACTTGGGACAATGGGCGGCTCTTGAGGGCTGATCGTCCTTCCCGCCTCCATTCTGGCTCACGGCAGTTGCATATTCAGAAAATGGCAATTTTCTTTCGAGTGGCGCAAAAATTCTCTTTTTTGGACACAGTCTTCCGTTTGTAAATTTTATTTCCCCAGAAATCATGTCCACTCATCTGTTCGACATTGCGAATGCTGCATGCGAAATGTAATTCAAATCTGTCAGATGACCCTCCACAATCAATAGAACACTCGAGTTGAGGCGAACTCTACGAGGTATGCACGGTAAAAATATAAGGTTTGCCTAGTGTAGAACATTTCAAGGTTCTTACACGCGAATTCCCTCCTCAGCCCATTCTCCCCCTCTCGAATTTGGCTGAAACGTGCAATTTCTCATTTATGCCCCATAAGAGATGTCCTTGCGATCGCGGGTATCTGCTTTTTGGGTCCATTACCGTTTCCCCGCACCCTTACACAGTCAGTCTGATATATTTAATAGCAGTCAGCATCATCGCCTGTCAACTACTTTGCCGTTTCGACGTAATGAGCTCTTTGAGCCTTTTGAGAAGAAGCCATCAGTTCTGACAACCCTGGACGATCAGTAAATCTCTGCGATCGGTTGGAAGAGATTTTCCTCAAGGACGGGAATTGCCGTCAGAGCCATGCATCCGTCTTCTTACCTTCGCACTTCCAGTTTCGCTTTTTGTACGTTAGCAATGAAATTGGATTTTAAGTTTCGTGAAAAGTGCGCAGGGTTTTGGGATTTGTTCTAATGGTCATAAAAACGGAAGCGCAGTTCTGAAAAACGAATGATACTAATTGAGAAAACTATAAGACACGCACGAACACGTTCATCGGACAAATTAGTGGAAAATTGAACAAGGACGAAATCAGCTGCAGTTACTTCCGACAAGATGACGCGCACCGTTACATTTTCATCGCGCTGCTGGACGAAGATTTCGGGAACGGAATGATAACAGAGCGCCTTTGGCCTCACGGGTCCCCCAGATTTTTTCTGTGGGGAGCGACGAAAGGAGACTTCGGCAAAAAATAATACGCCCAGTATCACAGACTTCATCGGCAAAATTAATGCCAATATGTTGGTGAGGGCCTTTAGAAACAAGATACCATTTCGTCACGTCCATGTATGTCCAGGAATTTTTTTAGAGTTAGCGGGCACGTATTGTTCTGTTATTACTAGGTGGACAGTGACTTTTAGACACCACGAGTACATACATAGGAAATATACGAGGGATGTTTTTCAATAAGTAAGGTAGCAAGATTTGCTGCGGTTAAGTGATTGCTTTGATCGAGATTCTTGTTTCGTGACGTCCTAGAGCGGTCATGAGGGTTCCATTGCACACAAGGATTTATCTCTGTAATGGGAATGCGTGAGAAGCCATTTAAGATGGCGGCCCTCCTAGAAACGTGGTCAACCGTTGAAGCGCGGAGAGGTTTTTCGTTTTCGTCATTAGGAACAATGTGAATTGCAGTTCTGATTGAAATATCGAGATCTCTAGCGACCTGAAGAATCCCTTCCATCTGTATGATATTCTCATCCGATGAAGTGGTTCTCGGTTGACCTAGTCCTTGTTCCTCGTTGATGCTCGTTCGCCCAGTATCGAATGCTTTACGACGCACCCATACTTGTTTTCGAGACCTCGCATTTCCTTCATAAACCCATACAATTTGGCAATGAATTTCTGCAGGGGTGGTGTCTCTTACATAGGGAGAAGGAATTACACTCGACACTTCAACGGTTCACCACGTTTCTAGGTGGGCCGCCACCTTAACTGGCTTGTCACGTATGCGCAATATTGCGCAGCGATCAATCCGCCCGTCCGATAGAACCCTCACCACTTCTGTACTACACTATAAGTACCTCGATTCAAGCAATAACTTAGCCAAAACAGACCTTGTTACCTTACTTATTAAACATCCCTCGTATATGTCGAGTTGCGCGACGGGCGACTCTCCCTGCACATTGCTCAGCTGATCGCAGTTATCCCTGTACAAGCTCACACATCAAGCTCAGGCAAAGCTTTGCCTCGTGTTGCAAATCCACGAGTCACCACCGACACAGTACACGTCCCGCCGACCGTAACACTCGAGTCTCGCCAAGCCTCTGCCAGGGAATCCCCCTTTAACGCCTCGACGAGCGCATCCCGCGACGACGGAAGGACCAGTGAAACACGATCGACGAGCCCGCTCGCCCTTCGACGCGGTCCGTGCGGAGTAGAAGCCGGTGGCCTTCGCCATCCCCCGACCGTCTTCCCTTCGCTCCGAGGGGTCACGGAAAAACCACTCGGTAACAACAGACGATTATTCTCTCTTGACATGTTGCCATTTCCTCTTCCTCTTCCTCTTCCTTAACGGAATTTTTTTTACCGAATGCGAACGACTGGAGCATTGGAATCAAGCGAACCTGACGTATTTACCGCGTAATAATTCCTCCACGTTTTTTTGTGTTTCTGGGGTAATAACTGCGGGGTAACGGGCAAGACCAGGTCCGAAGGCGAATCGATATTATGCATGCTTGGCATTAAGGAGAAGGAGGCGTCATTTAACTACAATGAAGGTATTCCGAAATGCAAGACACGATTAGAGCAAGACCCGCGATATAATCTCGCAAGATGCAGTGGGTTGGATAATACCGCTGAATCGTAAGAATACGAAAAGAAGTTCAACGAATCGGAATCTCGGCTCACGAAAGATCAGTGTCCATTCACCGGAATTCCAGCGTAAGAACGGGAAAGAACGCTACAAATCCGCGCAGAGTTTGGCACTGTGGAGGTGAGGCGCGCCTCACCTCCTTTTCAATGTCTTGCTTAGGAAGTCCCGCTGGAATCAAACTAAGTTGTTTCAGATATTTTCATTTCGTTAAAATTTCCTCGATCACAACTCGTTACAACAAATGAATACTCGGCATCAATGATTTAAGATCTTGTACCTGATTAGGGTGACTGATTACCTGAATTCCTTTGGAATGACCTGTATCACTAGATAATCCGTCCGCATGCGCACTGCATGTGGCTGGAAGAGTGGTCAGACTAAACAAATTCAATAAATGGCTCATATCGTTGTAGTGTCGTGTCTGAGGAGCAGACGACAGGACCAGCATCCAGTGTTGCTGAAAGGGACTAGACCAGCTAGTCAGAGGCTTTTGAGGACAAGTTTTGTGCTGTGTCTGCTTTTCACTGGAGGAGTGGTTTTTATCGAGCATGGACGTGGATGAACACTAACTGCTCCAAGTGGGGGTTCTCCTCTACCTCACATGACACCTGAACATTGATACGAGAGAGCAGCCAGAGCTGGGGGTGTGTCAGTGGATCCCGTCTTCCGGTGTTGGCGCTTGTTTCCTCGTGGTGCTTGGTCTGCCGAGTCTTGCTGGTCCGCACATTTTCCCTTGCTGGTTTTCCCAAGTCTGGCTGGTCTGTTCTTTTAGTGCTGTTTCATGGCCTAGCGCCTGCCAAGCATTTGCTCGTTGGTTACATTCCGGCCTATGACCTGAGCCTACTGTTCATTGTCTTTCACTTATTTATCTATTTTATTTATTTTCATATGTTTTATTAGTTTTTCAAATGTCAAGCCAATAGAGTAATTATGGAGCTCCCCACTGGCTTTTCATTTTAACCCACAGTGCTAGGCAAAGTGCCATCCTGGCTCTAGCACTACATTTTGGTGTCAGAAGTGGGATGGGTGTATTACTTTCTTGTGGTCTGGGGCCGTATTCACGAAACATTCTTACGAACTTTTTCTTCGTAAGAAGAGAAAAGTTCGTAGGTGGTATTCATGAAACCTCTCCTGCCACGAAGTTCGTAAGTGGTATTCATGAAACATTTTTGCGTAAGATGTTCGTACGATCTTCGTACGCAGTTCGTAAGAATGCTGCACAATTTCGGTATTCACGAAAGCGCAAAAGTTCGTATCTTTCTTCGTAAGTCTACGAATGGTCCCGAGGTATCGTAAGTGGCCGGAATAATGATGTCGAGGCAATCTGTGGAACTCTCTTTCATTGGGTGTCTCATTTAAGCTAAGGTTCATGTACACTGGGGGGTTCACAGGGTATATCCACACTATTCACATGATTTTGCCCCAGAGGTCATGAGGTCATTCACGTTTAGGAGATATACTGCCTCAGGTCATGAGGTCATTCACATTTCAGGAGATTGTTCGCCTCAGGGAGGTCATTTATACCTGGAACAGCCCATGGGTGGGTCCTTCCTCTGATGACAATAGAAAAATCCTCGACCTGATTGCCCTGACATGGCCTTATCCCAGAGGCCGTAGTCTTTCTTTGAACAGTGGTCTGCGATGGCTTACCCATACTTAGTTCTCTCAGAAATTTATCGACGTGCTCTCCGGAGAGAAAGAGCTTTTATGATTGCCCTGACATGGCCTTATCCCAGAGGCTGTAGTCTTTCTTTGAACAGTGGTCTGCGATGGCTTACCCATACTTAGTTCTCTCAGAAATTTATCGACGTGCTCTCCGGAGAGAAAGAGCTTTTCGAGATCGACACGACCCTCTCCAAGCGTCGGAAGATGACTTGATGAGGAACTACAGGTTTCCGAAGCAAATCATCCTTGAAATCACTGGGGATCTTTTGCATCATCTACAACGGCAGACTGCACGAAGTCAATCTCTCCCACCTCTGCATCAAATATGTGGAGCCCTTTACTACTTCGGTAGTGGAGTGTTTCAAAGATCTTTCGCTTCGCTTAGTGGAT